GCCAACGTACCTGGTTATAAATTGGGGGGCAAGCTTGGTAAGACAAGATGCTTCCTTCTTCTGTCTTGTGGCTAGGACAGAAGGTCTAAAAGGTATGTCAGAAAAAGGGAGAATGGAAGGGAGAGAGTGGGAAGAGAGAGGTCGAAGGAGAGAGGGAAGAAGAGCTGCTGGGAAGTGGGAATAGAAGGATGTTATTGTAGTCCGGCGACTTTGCGGATGGGATGAGATGAGCCACCAAAAAAAAAAAAAGGACAGGCAGTCAGAAGACTTGGTGAACTGGAGAACTGGAGACTAACGACAGCCAGCAATACTGTGTGTACTCCGTACAGGAACAAGCAATAATTAGGAGGAGGATCCAGGCGCAGGGGAGTGAGAGTGAGCGTGTGAGTGAGGTGTGTGTGTGAGGTGTGGACTCTTTGGACGGGAGTTCCGGGGTTGAGGCAATGAGCGATGTGGAATTTGGGACCTGGAACTTTGACGGGGATTGTTGGAGCGGCGTTGACGGCGTGGGAGGAGCGCAACGAAGGTGAGGATGGATGAGGAGGGGCGCAAAGTCACTTGGCCAAGTACCTTTTTCTGGAGATCAAAGTAGACGTCGTGTACCTTGATCTGTACCTCCAGCTGTACCTCCTGGTGGGACGGGATGAAATGTGTGGGGGGGAAGGGGGGTGTGTACTTTGCACGGTGTACCGTATTCGAGAGAGGGAAGGAAGGGAAACTCGGGGACTGCTCAGGTAAGGCCGTATTAGGTGAGGAAGGAAGTCCGGGACGGAGAGGGAAAGAAGATCGATATGGTAAAGGAAAGAGGACGGGAAGAGTATGCTTTCGGGCTTGGAGTATCCGTATAGTCAAGGGTACCTACCGTACTGTATAGTGTTTTTTGCTGGTTTTGTTACTTCTCCGCGAGAAGCTCAAGGAAGTTAAAGCTGGATCTGAACGAAATGGTTGGTTTCCCTGCCTGAAGCTTTGCAATTAGATGTTCCCTCGACACTGCCACCTGCCAGGGAGGAGCTATCGGTTCCTGGAGATCCGTATCCGTATGAGAAAGGAGATATAGTAGGGGGGTCTGACAAGTACCCGGAGAATATAATAACAACGACGAGGAGGCCCGTCGGGAGATGGAGATAGAGACAAAAAGAAGGAGAAGGGGGAGGCCAAGTAATGGGACGACGCGGGGGCGGAGAGAGCGAGCAGGAGAAAGAAGGCACCAGACACGATACAGCAGGCGAGGTTCACTTGTTATACGTGATTCACTTGACGATGGCACGAAGCACCGGGCATCGCCATGGGGACGGGACCAAGACGAGGACGAAGCTGCAAATCTGCTTAGGGACGGAGTACGGTGTCAATGTGTGTACGGCGTCGGTCTCGGTGCTTGGTGCTTGGTGCATCGTGGTGCGGTTGTGCTTGGTGCTTGCCATTGTCGGTGCTGTGGTCGACGAGGAGGAAGGAGCATGGCAGATTTCCCGGGATGGGGAACCTCTGAGAGAGAGTACGTGCGAGGTGCAAAAAAGGTACTTGAGCCGGTACCCGAGTCCATGTACCGGGAGTACCTCACTCCGGCGGGTGACGGACCACCATCACCAAGTTTACCCCAAAGTAAGTAGGCAAGATCGTCCTCAGCTAAAACTGCCCGTTCAACGCGCATCGCCATTTTTGAGACCAGACCAGCAAGGGCCACTAGACATTGGGCAAGACCAAGGACTGAGATGATTCTTGGTCTTGTTCCTGGTGATACTTGCACCTGACACTACCGGCCAGTCTACGTATTGATCAAGTCTGTGAGCGTTAGGTCGGGTCTTTTTCTCACATCTAAGCTTACATCATACGCTCAACTAGACTACCAGTGGGCTGCGCTGCAAATACACAAGATGTATGTAGATGGCTACATACAGAACACGACTGGATGGATACTCACACTTTTCCATATTGGCAACGCATTAATTGTTCACTGATTCCCTCGGTTCCTCCTTGCCTCCATCTGTCAAAATGCCCCAATCCATCTATCCGGCTGAGATTCTGCCCCCCTCCCTCAACCAATGGCCGGGGTGTTGGGGGAGCTCCTGCCCAAGGGTGGGCGGGCAAGCGGGCTGCACCAGTCCTTCCTTGTCCATGCCCAAAACCCAAGGTGCCTACTACGTACCTAACCTACCGCAGTACGGATACCAAGGCTTAGGTAAGGCAATGTCTCTCAAGTCTCATTCTAAAGTCTCTCTTTCTTTTGAGTCTTCCCTCCAAAACCACAGAGTAAAGCCTCGGCGTTGTATCTCTCAGCCTTTTTCGGATGGTTTTGAATGCTGGCTCCCTTGCAACTCTCAGCCCAGCCCCCACGAAGATAAGGTTCGATTATAATTCGTTGATTGGGTTGGGTTGGGTAATGTTACCTCCCCTCCCAAAGTTGTCACTTCAAGATGAACATCAACTAGCAACAAAACAGATCCTGGGTACTTGACAAAAACTGTGAGGAAACAAACGTCAACCTGCATTCTCTGCCCCTGGTTTTCGGTACGTACCTGGCGGGAGCATTGAACACCCATGGACAGGGAACAAAAGATACTTGCGCCGGTACGTCTGCCATGACGGGGCTTCAGGTACCGATCCTCATCCCGTAGCGCATCTGATTGCCATTCTTTCCCGGCCCAGGGGATTCTGCCGCTGGAATCTTTCTGTTTTTTTTTCTCTCTCAGATTTGGGCCAGCAATGTGTGTCTCTCTCTCCAATCAAAGCTACTTGTTTGGTTCAGTCTCATAGCTTCTTCCTCGCATCTTTTTTTTTTCTCTTGCGGCAAGTTCCCCTGTACCTTGAGGCACCTGTGTCTCCACCTGTAGACCCCGGGACGTTATCGTTGGCCTTATCGATACGTACTCTTGGGCCAAAGCTCCTAGGTATTGCGCGTTGCTGCCGCATTCCTTCCTTGCCTTGCACCTTGAGATTTTCGACTGTTGCGCAATTTCTCAACCATTTCGTCACCTCCAGCCTTGTAGACCTTGTCATTCTCCAACACCACACCTAATATTTGAGATGGATCGTTGGTCGCGACAGCGACACACACACACACACACATACACACATCACCTTCGCTACGAAATGTCACAATCGCATCCAGAATTCAGCTCCTAGTTTTTCCCTACCAAAATCTGATGTACCCTCCGCGGGCTCCTGAACTTGATGGAGGATCGGATCGGGTCAGCCATCGTTGCCACCACCGAACCCCGACGGCATCTCCAAACAATGTCCGAAAGCTGTTGCGTTACCTGACTGCCACGATCCAATGGCACCCTGTCACTGTACTCTGACACCGCCGCACCGCACCGCCGGCCGTTAGACACCGATCGTTAACCTCATCAACGCCGTATAATTACACCCAGACCCGACACCCACAGCTCGAGAGCGCCGTTGGCAACCCCGGACCCAGCAAGCAAACACATACTGGCAAAGTCTGCCCTCCCACGAGTTCAGGAGCCCGGCACGATCAATGCGCGCATCTCTTGCATCCATCCCATTTGGCATCCCAACTTTCATCGGCCCCGACTTCTTGTCGCCCGGCACTGAGAGTCTGGGAGTATGGAACAAATGGACAGGCCGCCCCTTCAAGTTTCATCAGAAAAGCTCCATCAGGGTGTCCCCATCGACCACCCCTCCAGCCCATACCCAATCTCGCAGGCGGTCTGTCAGGCGTCGCCCACGTCGTCCAGGGGTGCAAGCCTCAACAACCTAACGCCGTAACTGTCGACTCGCTTACGCACCTCTAAACCGCCTAGCCTCGCCGGTTCTCCGTCCGGGGACGTCCATCAGCTTCCGCTAGTCCTACGCAGTACTCGCACCTACAGGCTACGCAGTACGCAGTACGCAGAACGGGCCAGGTACCCAAGTTTACCGACCTAGTACCTCCTTGGCCTTCTGCAGAACCTATGCACATATAGCGCAGGCTTCAGATCAAGTCCCCGTCGAGCACTATTACACTCGCCATGGATGACGGAGAATGCTGAACCACAAAGTTCAGGGCATACAGGGCAAATACAAACGTCCCAACTCTCGGTCTCACCCGCTGCTGGCTTGGACTGGTATTCACTCAGTGGCCAAACGCTTGTGTCTAAACCTTTGGTGTCTCGGATGGGACAGACCGCGCGAACCACGCCAAAGTCTCGTTCTCTTCAGTTTCGCATCTTGCATTCCCCCCAGAGTCCAAGGTCTTGGGGCAGAGCTTCACCATTCAACATGCAAATTCCAACCAAGCCAAGCGCCAGGCCAAGGGGCCACCGGTCCAACCCGATAAGGGGTCCTCGTCAAGCCGATAGCAGCTGGAATTGCTAGGCCCTGGCCTTGCCTCCCACCACCAACATCAATGCCGTCGCCGATGAGCTTTGCCGAGCCACGTCGACGTGGGCGGTAAATGTCGGTCCCCCCAACAATTGGGATTTTGGGACACAATTTGGGGGTCGCCTTCGATGGGCCCCTTCGAGAAATGCCAGGGGTTCTCCAAGCACCAATAGCGAACTCACGAAAACAACCAAGCCCCCACCCAAAGAAGGAGAAGAGAGCACCGAAGAAGGGGGAGAAAAAACATTGCCAACCAGCGCCAGACCAAAAGAGAAAATCTCCACCCGCAGATCCCCAACATCTTGTCCGTCCATCTGCGGAGCCCGTGCTCCATTCCTGTCTCCACCCGGCTTGAAGCCAACCCGCAGGCGCCAACGACATCAATATCGATTCAGACTTGAACCGCGCCTAGAGCAGGGGGCTCGCAGCCTCAGTCGTCAGCTGCAGCCACAAATGTTCTGTGGGATGGGAAAGCCAAAATGCAGCCAGCATGCTGACTGAGGCTAATGATAGTGGGATTCCGACAGTGAGAGAGAGCAAGATACCACCTCGCGGACGAACGCCTTTCCTCAACTCAGGACCAAACCCATGGTATGGATACCTAGGCCTGCTTAGTTCCCAACTAGTTAATCTCAACTTCACCACACAGTGCTTCTCTGCACCCTGAACGCGTCCGTCTCATGGCCACTGCCGCTGCCGCCGCTGCGAACCCGAAGCTTCGCTTCTTCCACCACCCCTCTGCGGCCGAGGTCTCCCGTCACCTACTCAAGTTCCCCGGCCCATCCCATCCACGGCACCGCAACATTCCGGCTTGTCAGTACTTATGGCGCGGACTTCCGTTGGCCCATTCCCGCCGCGATAGAGTACTAATCCCCATCATAACCCAAGACCAGAAGTTACGAAACGTATCTGTACACCAATACGCCCCAGAGCGAGGATATCACCGAGCATTGGCCCCTCAGGCCGTCCCGTCCTCGGCGCCTCGTTCGGAGAGCAGAGCGGATGCTACACTAGCTCCCTACAAATGCCTACTTGGCCGCGATAAAGACGGGGCGAGCAGATCCGATCCTGTCAAAGCTGGGGACGTACTGCGCGTAATCTGACGCGCCCACTTCCGGTCATCATCCTTCGTCCTTTTTTTTTTATCTCAGAGAGACGGCACTCCCCAAAAGAGACGGGCCCCACCATTGACGTCCATCTCTCCTAGCCGGAGCGGACGGACTGCTCGTGCCCCTAATAATAGCCAGGCTTCCCCCTTCAGCTCCGACCTGTGACGCCGATGGGCGGGAGCCAGCGCCGGTGAGACGGCGTTCGCTGACACTGAATTTAGCAGGACCATTAACGGGACGTTGATCAAAGGTAATCTACAGATCTCTGATCCAAGGTCATTTACAGATATTTCCAGCCGCATCTTGACATGACAAGCCGTTGCCTACAAATACGTCCACGCTTCCTCAATCAACCTTTGTCGTCCAGATCGTGGGTACCCCACAGTCTTACTTACCAGAGCCACATAGGACTGCGCCTGCAGCTCGACTGCCGACCGCATCGTGTCTCGAGCGGCTCTGAACGCCGGTCTTAGCCTGCCCGTCCGAACTGGGTTTGCAGGTACGTGCGTCACTGTAGGTAGTCAACCGTTACTCTGAGACCGCATCTGCACAGCAAGTTTAGCCAAGCGACGTACAGATAGGTTTGGCCACTTGGCATGTCGCTCGTGGCAGTTGGATGAGATGAGGCCAAGTGCTATTCAAAGCCGAGACTGGGACGAATGTCTTGTTTGATGTCGATGAACTGGTTCTCTCTGCGCACCCCGCAAGCTACTTCTCTACAGCCAGCGGATGTCAAAGTTCCAGAGCTGGGATGGCTGCCTCTGTACCTACAGTCTTTGGGATGTATCGAAGCTTGAAAGGCAACCCGGCGACCCGCCGTATACTCTGCACGCACATGCCAGGACACTACCTTGAGAGAAACCGACTCACGAAACGAAATAGCCAGCACCGAAGCCGCGGCCTTGGTCCTGGTTTTGGATTCTTCCCTTAGACAAGCCTCGTCGACAGGTGGTTCCCGTGTCTTATGACAGGTCTCCAGTAAATGTTGGAGCTGTGTGCCGCACGTCAGACCTCAAGGTGCTTGCGCGTAGTTGTAGATATGTTTGCTTCGGCAGATCTGCGCATGCCATGTTCAAGGTATAGCGAGTGGCACGCCTGCAGGAGGTACATGGGCGGATTGGCCGAGTCTTCATGGTCTTTACTCAAGCCAGTACAATGAACGTAGTCCGCGACATGTGTGCATGAGACAACACATACAAAGGTGATGAGATCAGCACCCCAATGAAGTACCTCATATGAGCAGAATCATTGCAAGAAGAACATGTCTATTCGGCGGATTCTCTCCCTTCTGATGTGGAGATATTTGCTCAAGTCTAGTGAGCTTTACTAGGGGACAAGGCTGACAGCGCGGCTTCTTCCGTGTCTGGCTGTTTAGTAGGATAGTCGTGTTGAAGGATGCGTTATGAGTTGAGCTCGGTGATCAAGTCGCACCACGGCAGCGGCCACGAAAGAATGATACAGTCAGATTAGTACAATTATCCTTGGAATGGAAGGATAAGATCCTTTGTGTGGGTTGAGTTGGTGTTCCCCCCGTGGGTGACCTAGTAATATGTGGTGATGGATAAACGGTCTTTGGATGCGTGGTTCAGCAAAGATGTACACAAAAAGCGAGATAAATAAATTCTGAAACTTGGGAAAAGTTCTCTAGAGGTTCTCGGATTGGATTCACGGGATCAATGGGCATTTCAACAAGCGTCAGCTGGTGTGGCTATTTTCCTCGTTCTAGGACCATCGTTTTGAATTCGTGATAAAATGGTTCGTCATGCAATATATGCATTCAGAGTTGAATAACCTCAACGAACACCCCCAAGACCTGTCCAGTCTAAATTCTACACCTCAAATTAGACTCCTATCTTATCCATACATGTATCAACTCTTTCGCAATTCATTCCAACCGAAAAGAGGCGGTGTCATTGTGCGCAGTGGCAAGCTAAGAAATGTGGCCGTCATCACTAAAGCACCTACTTGGACCACGAACAGCCGCGGTCCACCACGACCTCATCAAGGTCACCAACCCATGGAAAGTCCCATATAGTCCAGTGGTTAGGATACTCCGCTTTCAGTCCGTGATTCTGACTATTTACCGGAGAGACCCGAGTTCGAACCTCGGTGTGGGAACAGTACCTTTTGTTTGGTTTGTTTGATGGCTTTTGGGTCAGTGATTTTGTTTATTTTTGCTGTGGTGAATGCGCGGAAGAGTGCGTGTCTGTGTAACGATACACACCGGCCACCCCAATAAACACCACCAGTAAGTAAGTAAATCATACATGGAGAGTGGCCATCGGGCGCATCCTGATTGAAGAGCAATCTATTCACTTCGTCAAGGATTCTTCTCTATCTGATTTGTCTGGGAGGCTTTTGATTAATTCACTACTCGGCACGCAGATTCAACCTTCCCCAAAACTCGGCCCCTCCACAAACACAAACCGGAACGGCGGACAGGAACCGGCGCGGGGTCAGTCGACTCCACCACACCCCACCCACCCATTCTCCTCTACCACCGACGCAACGCCGAATCGGCGACAAACTGAACCCGGGAAACACATCACGCGACCTTCGTCTGATCTTCATTGACAAACAATATAATGTTCACATAGCCTTGGCTGGGCACATGAGTACACTGTCCGCGTTGAGTGCCGACATTGGTGTCGCAGTGTTTGGAGCAGAACTTCGGCTGTACAGGTGCCCACTCCCCAGGAATACCTCCCAACCATCACGCCCTTCACCGTACTTAGCCCGATGCTTCATCCTTTTCTCATCGTCACAGACTTGACCGATACGTTACTCACAAACACCTGCCTCAATGGAACTCAAGCAGCAAATCATGAAGTAATAAACCAGTATATTCAGACCAAGGTATGTTTCGACGGATCTTTTGGGGGGGGGGGGGGGTGTTTCGGTGTGCGTGTTTGGTAGTTGTGAAAGTGAGTTGTAGTTGTAGCAGTTTCGCTTGCGTGTCAACAAAAAGGTATTCCCCCGGACTGCGAAAAACAAGAGAGAAGAAACCGAAAAGAAGGCACCGCCATGCTGTATCCCCCGTTCCCGTTTGAAACCCTAGAATCATACCAACGCCTCGGATGCAGCAGTTTGTATCCACACGCCTGCCCTGGAAACCCCGTAGTCATGAAGAAGCAATGAACAAAGGAAATGAGATGAAGAAAAGAATGAGACTCTCTCGTCTCTCTTCTCATTTGGAAATGAGGGTATGTATGTTGCTCGCTGTGATTGCGCAGCTGCCCATGGCCCGACTGCATATGCACCGGGTCAAGTAGTCAGAAGCAACAGTGCTGCTCTGTTGGTATCAAGTAATCCCCCTCCTGTGATGGTTTGATTCAACCCTGCCTAGTACGTCTCCTCTTCAACGAGTTGATCCTGAGCGCCCATGATGGAACTCCTCAGGCCCATCGAGCTTCGCCTCCCTGAGACGCTTCCTCCGCTTTGCCGTCTCCCGCTTGGCATCGGGATGCCGCTTGTAGGGGCTGGAATACCGCTCACAGAGTTTTCTGCCTCTAAGCGAGAATACGTGCCTCTCCTGCTAGGTGTTCTGAATTCGCCATTTTCGTCGCCCTCGTCAATATCGATGCGGCTGCTGATACTAGCAGAGCGCGCATGCAGGCTGCCACCCAAGGAGCTGCGAGGACGACCCAGGGGTGTCCGGGTGCCAGACATACTGGTGCGGCTGATGGGACGGGGCGGTGCCATTTCTGTGCGACTTGATGGCCTGGCGTACGACGAGATGCTAGCCCGTGAGCTCGGCCGAGACATTGTGGAATCGCTGTGTTCAAGACCAGCCCCTGGGTTTCGGTTCGGCAGCGGACCAAAAGACAACCGGCTGACACCTGACGTGCTAAGACGAGGTACATGCTTGGATCGTGTGCTGGCAGAGAAGTTGGGGTTGGATGGCGTAGTGTCGTCGCCCCGTACTGATGAGGCGGTGGAGCCACTGGGACGTTTCCGTGAGCGGATAGTAACCGTTGACGGTACGCTGTGGACTCCGAGAACCGAGGAGCGGGGTGAGGCTCGAGGTGGTGTTGTGACGGGAGCAGGCAGCTTCGATCGTGCATTGTGTACGCGAGCTTCCAGACGCTGCATCTGAGCTGTAAGGGTTCTGATGTGGGCGAGAGAGTTGTTGGCAGGCTTGGGGGGCATGCGGGTGGAGATGGAGCGAGGGGCGGTGCGAGGAGCAGGTGTGCGTGTCGGTGGCCCGGTTGAGGGACGACCTCCAGACGGCCGGGTGCTGCTCACGGATGTCGTGAATGAACGAGGCTTGGGCGTGATGCTGTGTTCGGTGGACGGCAGACGCGACTTGCGAGTCGCCGATGCCGGAGTCTTGGCCGGGGTCTTGAGGGGTGTTCGGGAGACAATCCTCTTGGGTACGGAAGCGGAGACGTCGGACATTGGCGGGGATGGAGGCTCGCTGATCTGGGCGGGTTTGGCAGCAGGGAGAGCTTCCGCATCGGGCGGCGTCGATACCATGGGCGAGCTCGCGGTTGAGCCGGGGGAGGCGTCGAGGGTCTTGTCGAAAACGGGGGATGAAAGAACGGAAAGGTCGGTGGATATGGCGGACAGATGACGTTGCTCCTGCTTCTTGATCTTGTCCTGGAGCACCTCGGCCTCAATCTTGAGGTCGGAAAGCTCCTCGCGCAGGCGTTGCGCCTCGATGCGCAGCGTTTCTCGCTCCTGTTCACCGATTTTGATCTCCTCCTCCATCATGACCTTGCGCTCGATCGCACTGTTAAACTTGGATTCGAGGTCCTCGAGGGAGGAGCTGGTGTTCCGTGCCTGTCTCTCGAAATCATCGTTGGCGACCTCGATATCGCGTAGCTTGAGCTGGAGTGTCCTGTTGGTGTCGCGCAGTGTTGTGATTTCCTTTTCCAGGGTGTTTTGAGCCGTATTCGCATCCTTCTTGGCTTGGTTGTATTTTGACTGGAGGGAAAGGTCAGTTAGAACTGGACATCTCTCGGTATGTGATATGCGCGCCGATAAACGGTAAC